CAAATAACAACCATTGGGGTAATTGAAGGCTTTCCGTTTTTAAGCGAATGAAGCCCAGTTCTTTCCTCGTTTCCATGTGCAGGCTATGCAGATGGTCGAGGCTGAGTTTTACTATAGTCTGTGACTTTTGTATTGCAATTCCATCTATGTGCAGTTGGATGGGTCTTCCTGTCATGTGTGTTATTGAATTTGAATAACTCTGGTTATGTTGCAATTATTGAATGATGTAACGTATGATCCGTGTAGCGTTCTGTTAGCTAGATCACAGTTTGATGATATGGTGAAATTTCCATGACGATTTACTAACAGGTTTGATTTGTCTATACGGATAATATCCTCCACTGGATTTGGCACATAGTCACATGTGGCTGGTTCTCATCTGATTTAGTTTGGTATGCACGATAAGTTGTCCCAGTATATTGTAGATAATTCGGAAATTGTTGATTCTAAGCTATCCACTCTGTATATCTGTTTTCCATGGGTCATGTAGTTACAAGTGGTTGCATGGATCTGTTGTCCTTCATATAATACGGGATGTACATATATCTTGTTGAGTCTTCTATCGTCCAATTTTGGTAACTTGATGAGTAAAACGATGTCTTTGTTTTTCGTCGCAATCGATGCAGTGGCATAAGTGATGGCTTCAGCAGCTGTCTGTACTGGTATACCTTCTTTGGATAAGTCCCTTACTAGTATTCCTATATCTGACTGTCTTAGTACGATTTCATTAAGCACTCCTATTTTAGCTAACATTACTGTATGCATTATTTGTTCCAATTTTTCGTGCAAATAGTTGAGGTTTAAAAATATGTTAATAGAATATAACTCGCTTCCTCTTGAATTATATAAATCAATGGCACAAGACAAGTCTGGTCGTCTTGTACCTTGTAAAGCCTTCCTTGATTCTGGTGCTCAAACAAACCTGCTTTCTACCTCGATGTATAGGAAGTTAGGGTTTGCTGGAGTTCCTGTGCACGTCGATATCGTTGGTGTCAACTCCAGCCGTAGCAAAGCTTATTGTCTCGTTGATGTAAATCTTCACTCCCTATGCAGTGACTATGAAACGAATCTCAAATGCTTGGTCACTGAAACCATTACAAGTCCGTAACCGTGTAAGGCAATCAATATGGCTCAGTGGAACATTCCTTCCATCCGATCTACTAATCGGACTTAGTCACTTCTTCGACTTGTTGAAGGTTGGGCACATCGTTCTTGACGAGGGTCTTCCAGAGTTGCAAACAGAACTTGGATGGGTAGTTGCCGGAGAAATTCGTGTCGAAGTGGCAGCTATCGAAAACATTCAACAAGTGAATTGCGTTGCCATTGAGTCGCTTAATGAGACGATTAAGCGATTCTGGGAAAATTGAAGAGGTTGAACCCAGTGCTGTTCACACTGGAGAAGAGGACGAATGTGAGGAATTATTTCGCAGCACATATCAGCGTGATGATGTCGGTAGATACAAAGTGAAACTACCAACTCGTGAGAATATGCCTGAGCTTTCTGATAATCGATCGTTGGCTCTCCGTCGTTTTTTCCTTCTCGAGAGACGTTTACTGAAGGACCCTGAACTTCATCTCCAGTACTCGAAATTTATTGAGGAGTACTTATCACTGGGACACTGCAGAGAAATTGCCGAAGCGGACGATCCTCCTGGAAAGCTCAAATATTATATGCCGCATCATTCCGTTTACAGGTCGGCCAGCTCAAGCACTAAACTGAGAGTTGTGTTTGATGCTTCTGCAAAGCCACCGTACGGATTTTCTCTCAATGATGTGTTGAAAGTAGTTGCCATCGTTCAGAGTGACTTGTTGTCGATTCTTTTGAGGTTTCGTAAGCATCCTTTCGTTTTTACAGCTGATATTTTAAAAATGTATCGGCAGATCCTCATTGACCCAGAACTGACTTCCCTGCAAAAAATAACTGCTTCAAACCAACTGATCGCATCAAAATCCTTGAGTTATTGACTGTTACATACGGCACTTCTTCTGCTCCGTTTTTAGCAACTAGGTCGTTGGTTCAACTTAGTATCGACGAAGGAGTCGATTTTCCTCTTGCAGCTCGTATAGTACGGGAAGACTGTTATGTTGATGATATACTATGGGGCGCTTCAAGCTTTGCTAGAAAGGGGTGGATTTCCTGTACATAAATGGTGCGCCAATCACGAAGCGATATCATGATATTCCCGAATCTGAACGTAAACACCTGGTGGCCCTGGATGATCTGTCCGCAAATGAAGTTATGAAGACACTCGGATTAATGTGGAATCCGAAGAATGATGAATTTCTGTTCCGTCCATCTTCTTCGTCTGAAGATACAGTTGTGACAAAGCGTCAGCTGTTTTTAGAAGTTGCTAAATTGTTTGACCCGTTAGAATTCCTCTCACCCATAACTGTTCTAGCAAAGCGTCTTATGCAGCAGACTTGGGCTGCTAAGATAGACTGGGATGAAGCCCTCACTGAGAATCTTTTGACTGATTGTTTGCAACTTCGTAGATCTCTTGAGCACGTTAGTGACATCAGAATTCCCAGATCGGCCATAAGTTTGGGTTTCGAGTCCTTGGAATTACATCGATTTGCAGACGCCTCTGGGACGGCATACGGTGCCTGCGTTTATGTTCGTAGCATTCATTCGAACGGTAGTTGTATGGTTAGACTATTGTGTAGTAAGTCTAAGATTGCCCCGCTTCAAGAAGTAACAATTCCTCGGAAGGAACTTTGCGCTGCCTTATTGCTTTCCAGACTAGTAAAGAAGGCAAGTTCTACGTTGCAAATCCAGTTTTCCGCTATTCACTTAAGGCCAGACAGTCAAATAGTACTTGCGTGGCTACGGAAACCCCCTGCAATGTTGCAGCCGTTTGTTTGCAATCGTGTAGAGGAGGTTATCAACGAGAATCAGCATACTAAATAGGGTTACGTTAGGTCAAAGGAAAACCCAGCTGACGTGGTGTCTCGTGGCCAAACTCCTGTTTTGTTGAAGAATAATGCTTTATGGTGAAACGGACCACCATTTCTTCATTCCCAGGATTATGAACCAGTTGTTGTCGAAGAAATTCTTGTCGCGGCGTTCGACTTTGACGGGTGTTATGCACCGTCGATAGTTTTGAACGCATGCATACCGCAGCTAGGTAGTGGTCCGAATCAATGTTCTCACTACGGTACGTGCGAACGTTGATGATCTCGGAGAAGAATTTCGTAAAAAGAATTAGAACGTAATCGATTTGGTTTTCTGTGTGTTGGTTAAGTGATCTCCAGGTGGCTTTGTGGGTATCCTTGCGGGGGAAAAAGGTACTTCGGTTACTATACCCCGAAAGGGTGCAAAGTTCACGCATCGTTGGCCGTTGTCGTTCGATACGGCATGCAAGCTGTTTGGTCCGATTGCCGGTCTATACATTGCCTACCATCCTACCTGAGCGTTCATGTCGCCGATGACGATTTTGACGTCCCGTTGCGAACAACCGTCGTACACATGCACATGTGCATAGAACGCTTATTTATCGTCGTCGAGTCTCCCTTCATGTGGGAAGTACTCGTTGATGATGCTATAGCTGAAGAAACGGCCCTTAATCCTCAACTTGCACATCCTCGCGTTGATCGACTGCCAACCAATTACGCGTTGGTGCATCTTACCCAGCACTACAAAGCCGGTTCCCAGCTCGTTGGTGGTGCCACAGCTCTGGTATAAAGTAGCCGCTCGATGCCCGGTTTTCCATACCTTTTGTCCCGTCCAGCAGTGCTACAACTTCGAAGTTGCGAGGTTGAAGTTCATCATAGATTAACCTATCGCAGTGCCGATTGTTCCGATCCGTATTCTTTCTTCAGTATTTGCAACTTTATGTTTTTTCCAGAGCGGCTTGTTGGGCCTGCCTCAACCCCTGTCTCACCAGGGGACCATCGTGCACAGTTCTGTTTAGAGTCCCACGCTGGCACTAGGACGGTGATCAGCCGCTCCTAACATGGAGAACAGACGCCGTTTTGGAGGTGCGCTCCATGGTGAACAGACGCTCGGGTTCACTGGTAGTCCGGACAAATACGGGTACCAATGTATTGTAGGGTTTGAAAGGGAAAACCCAAACGGCCGTCAAACTTAATTTATTGCTGATTTCTTTTCCAACAATCTGCTGGTTCACCTGGCTGAAAATCACCTTCAAGGTAAAAAAAAAAACTCCTTACAAGTCCTTCAACAGTTTTTGGAAATCCTTTCGTACAAACCTAAGATGATTAAAAAAAGACCTGTTAGTTTCTTCCAAAAGACTTTTGTATGATACACTTTTTTTTGCCAAGAAACAAAAGTAAGTCAAGAAGAAGAAAAATCAATGTCTTAAAAAAATTGAATTTATTTAATAATGAAAATCCTCAAAGGCTAGGTAGCCATCATAATGAAGTAATGAAGTTGATTGTTAGTGGAATGCTTAAAAAAAAGAGTGTCTATTTACCATCTGGTCACCCTGAATGCTCTGCGCTTCGGTCGACCACACCGACCGAGCCCGGCTGGAGGTGAGTATTGATTTGGAAGGTTCCTTCTCTCCTTCCCATTTTTTTTGTTTGTCTTATCACCTTGGGAAAATTTGTTTCTCTTCTTCTTCTTCTTCACGTCGTCAGAAATTCGATACGAATGAAGATGTAGAAGGTGGATTTATTCAAACTGGTGATATGAAGGCAGCCGTTGCGGGGGTGAGCTTTTCCATCGAACTTGAATGTGATTGCTTATCGTCCGAAAACGAAACGAAAATGGACAAGGGTTCAGCAGAGCAGAAGCCAAAAATAACAACAACAACAACAACAACAACAACAACAGCGTCGTTTCAATCCAATTTGATGTTTGTCAGAACATTGATACTTTGTAAACAGGAACAGAGCTGCAAAGTCAACGGATCAGACTCACAGGTCAATTTTCCAATTTGACCCAGTCGGTGTAATTTGGCAGGCGATGTCGGTTCGATTGCATTAGCTTTAAGAAGGTTAGTTAGTTTTTTTTGCACATATCAATATGTATTTCAATCGAGTTACATGACTATTCAACAACACATAGAAAAGCACATTTTTTTTTTCTTTACAAACGTAACAAAAAATTGGCGCTTTTTTTTTTATTCGACTAGAAAAAGCTGACCCCAAAGAACATCTGCATTCGGCTAGGATCTTTCCTGGGGGGCTGAGCATTTTTCAAGTATTCAGTCCTTTCATCTTGGCAAAGCGAGCGATTCCAAGACTTTAATACTAATACAGCTAAATATATTCACAATTATCACAAAAGTGGAACGAGCCATCGGGTCCTAGCGAGGCACAAGGATGCCTTAGTGCTGCCCGTAGTGCTGCTGCTGCTGTTGCTGATGTTGCTGCTGCTGTGGCTGGTGGGCTTGATGCTGGTATTGGGGCTGCTCCTGAGTGAAGTGCACCTCAGGCTGGGAATGCTGCGGCTGATGTTCGGATTGCTGCAAATGGTACTGCGATTCTGGTGCTTGATGTTCATGGTGCTGGTGGGCTTGTTCGTGCTGAACTGGCACTGGCACGAAGAGCTTTTCCTTGACCGGGTGCGGTACCTCCTTGGTGACGGCAAACTTCACTTCCTTGTACACCGGGAACGGGCGCTCGATATCAACCTTCACCGTGTAGGGCACGGCCTTTTCCACTGGTAGAGGGATAGAGATGAATTGGGATCAATATTCGTGATAGTAGAAACATCCGAGGCACTTACCGGTGTATGGGACTCTCTTCTCGACAGTGTATGGCGCTGGATATGGGACCTTAACTTCGACCTTGTATGGTTTTGGGACATCAACTTGGTACGGCTTATCGACTGGGACCTTGACCTCGTACGGTACCTTCTTCTCAACGATGACTGGGTACGGCTTCTTCACTTCCACTGGATAAGGCTTCTCGACTTCGACCTTGTAGGGCCTATCGACTGGGACCTTCACCTCATAAGGGACTTTCTTGATGACTGTGTAGGGCTTTGGTACCGAGACCTCGTACTTAACTTCATATGGGATCTATGGAATAAGATGAGCTGTGAGTGCTTCTGAGCTGGGGCCAAAAAAACCTATCTCTTACCTTCTTTTCGACGGTGTAGGGAACTGGAACTTGGACCTTAACTTCGTATGGAATCTTCTTCTCCACCACGTACGGCTTTGGTACTGGCACCTCAACCTTGTATGGCTTGTCGACTGGAACCTTCACCTCATAGGGAACCTTGGTGTACACGTTGTAGGGTTCTGGGACGTAATTCTTGACCTTGACGTACTCCTTGACGGTGTATGGGACCTTCTTCTCAACCACGTAGGGCTGTGGAATTGGGACCTTTACCTCATAGGGCACATTCTTGTGGACGGTGTATGGAACATGCTTCTCGACGGTGTACGGCACTGGGACCTTCTTCTCAATAGTCACGGTTTTGATGGTTTCCTCATGATATTGCGGCATTGGCTGGTGCTGGTGTTGCTGCTGTTGCGGAGGTAGGTGCACGAAATGCTGGGACGCACTTGGGTATTGAGGTACATGCTGGTACTGTGGTTGCTGCTGTTGGTACTGATGCTGATGCTGCTCCGGTTCCGGGTGGGACTGATACAAGGTCTGTGGTGGAGACTGGTGCTGCTGCGGCTGGTGCTGGTGCTGGTGCTGCTGCTGCTGCTGCTGATGTTGCTGCTGCAAGTGCTGCTGCTGATGATGATAGTAAGTCTGCTGTGGAGCCGCCTGCTGGTGATACTGCGGTTGCTGGGAAAAGTGCGAGTGGTATTCGCTGGCTCCATGCGACTCCTGAGTCTCAAACTGCAGATGTTGCAGCTGCTGGTGGTTCTGTTGATTTTGATGCTGTTCCTGAGCGGCGCTCCAATCGCCCAAAGAGATTCCACGCTTTTCCAGTTCCTTGTCCTGTTTCTGCTCAGCTTCTACGCTTCTCTTACTAGCTGCGACGCTCTGATCCGCTGCCGCCGACTGGTCATTGCCCTCGGCAGTGGCTGCTGCCACTAGCAGGGCTAGGCAGCAGGGGACAATAAACTGGTGAGAGAGAAAGAACGAAACGGCATGTTAGGAATGGCAGTAGTGTGAATCTCGATGTTTGAAATAAATCTTAATTGTTAACTATTCTTCAGGGAATTCATAGTTCTACCATCTTTCGTTCAGCGCAAAATATTTTTCGATCAAAATCTTGCCCTGATGAATATCCAATCACCTGGATCAAAATGATGGTGATGACTGTAATCAGCACTTTATCTTGTAAATTAATAATCCCAGTCAAAATGACTTATTAAATTTTAGGTGAAAGTCCAGATTTTTCTGAGGTTTCCGATGCTTCACTGAAGTTTATGGAACTGCGTTAAAGATTTCTGAACTTCAATAAAGCTCTATAGACTGAATTTCTGCAGAAGTTTTCAAAAGTTCTAACAATTTTTCTGATGTTATTTGTTCTACCCTGAAGTATAAGAAAACCTTCTAGTCATGGAACTCAAACTCTACAAACTCCCCTGAATGTCTATGGAGTTCTTCTTATTCTTCTTCTTCTTCTTCGAATTTTAAGCTTATTGCTTATCGCATATTAGTTTATAACGTTCTCTCAACAAAGTGTTCTTTTGGATGCACTTTCAGAGTTATTATGTGAGAGCTTTCGATGCCTGTACCATTTTTGAATTAGTATAATTGTATGGCAAGTACAACCATACTCTTGGCCAGGGAAGTCGAGAAATTTCCCAACCTGAAAAATTCCTAGACCGGACCGGGAATCGAACCCAGCCATCGCCAGCATGGTCTTTCTTTGTAGCTGCGGCTTTACCGACTGAGCTAAGGGAGGTCTATGGGCTTGCCTGAAGTTGTTGTTCCTTCATGATAAAGTTCTCTTTATTTTCAAGAAGTCTTCGGAACTTCTCTAATGTTTCAAAACATTTCATGATATTGGTGAAAGTTCCCTTAAGACCCTACAAACTCCTGCAATTTTTGAAACATTTCAGAAATTCTCGGATTTTTTCATAACTCTTCGGAACTTCTTGTAAGTTCCTTCAATTGAGCATTCGATCTGCTCTGGAGTTCTCTGATCTTTAAAGGAAGTACAAGGAACATCCCTGAAAATAATGAAACTATCCAAAAATTTCAAATCTTGCCAGATGTTCTTTGGGTTTCCCTGACGATTTCGGAACTGAAGGGACGAACCAGCCTTAGGTCTCTCTAATAAAGATAATAGTAATTCTCGGGCCTTCTGTATAGTGATATCGTTGATGTACATTGAACACTTTGAAGTTCTCTGATCTTTCCTGATGTTCTCGAAGCTACTCTTAGGCTCTCGCAATTCTGTTGAACTTCTTGACACGGATTTTTAGGATAGTACATTTTGCTTTAAATCAAAATGAACTGTCCCAACAATCTTTGAACTTCCCTCAAAGGCTGTCTTGAATGTTTCGAGACTAAAATTTACACATCTATAAACTTCCAGCTCAGGTGGCTGGTTTCGATTCCCAGTCTGGTGTAGGAATTTTGCGGGGTTGGAAAGTTTGTCGACTTTCCTGGGCATAGAGTATGATTGCACTTGCCACACAAATGAACTAATTTAAAAAAATGGTAGATTTATCGAAAGTTCTCAATTAATATCTGTGGAAGTGCATCCAGAACACTAGTTGAGAGCACGCAATAAGCCATTATGCAAGTATCTTGAAATGCATTGAAGATTAAAAAAGAATATCTACAAACTTCCCCAAAATTGAGGACTTTCCTGAAGCTTTTGGTACTGCCCTTGATATCTCTAAGCTTTTCTGATAACCTCTAGACGTAGCTTCTCTGAGGTTTCTGAAATTTCTTTAAAGTTTCCACACTGGTCCTCAAGTTCTCTGGACTTCTCTGAAATTATAAGACTTTTTAAAAGCTCCTGCAGTTTACCTAAAGCTCACTGTACTGCCTTGACAGCCAGAATTTTTAAAGAAGTTATTAGAACTTCTATTACTATTCTGTTGTCTGTTCATGAAACTTCCCCAAAATACTCGGTATTTCCTTTCATTCTACGGGACATTTATAAAGTACCTTAACAATTTCGTTTTCTGCACTGCCCTGATTTCTCGGAGCTTCTGTGACATTATCGATTCTTTTTTTATTAAGTGCTATAAACTTCCCTGATAGTCTCAGCTCAATCTTTAATATTCGAAGCTTCTAGATGATTCTCTCTATTTTTCTGAATTTAATGGAACTGTCTTAAAATTCTCCAATTTCGAAAAACATAACATTAGCCAATCACATTTATTGAACTTATCTAATGGTCAATTATATTTCAACATACTAACGAACATTCATCCCTTCCGTGACACTTATAAGAGATTGCAGGAGTCAGCAGTTCTAATAAGTTCAGAAAAATTGCAAAGTTCAAAAATTTCAGGGAAGTCCTGAAATAATCTGAAATCTTGAGAAATGTCCAGATTTTTGGAGAAGTTTCAAAATTTTGAAGGGTAAGTTCCAAGGACTTAAGGGCACTTTCTTGAACTTCTGAAAAATATTGGATCATACAGTACCGGACAAAAATAAAGAAAATTGTAATTTTTCTTCTCTGCTCCGAAAAAAATGATTAATACGCTGTAATATTTTTGATAGTTTTTCTGCTGGTTGATCAATTATTCAAGGTTTATCGGTATGATTTTAAGCTTGTTTGGACTTTAATTTGTCCGGTACTGTAGTTGAAAATCAAAGAACTTTGACAAAATTAAATGAACTTTTCAGACGTTCCATGACTGTGAGTCCAGGAAACATCAGGCTAGATTGAAGATGCTTGAGAAAGATTATGAAAATCTGTGGACTTCTGAGCAAATCTAAAAAATTATAGAAACTTAAGGGAAGTTTGGAAAAGTTTAAAACTTCAAGACCGTAGCAATAATTTCTGAAAGATTGTTGGTACATTAGAGATGTTCCAAGAACAAAGAAGAAGGACGTTTGAAAACGTGAAAACAGTTTAGAAATCATTGGAAGTAACTTGAACTTCAGAACAAATTAGAGAACTCCAAAAAAGTTTGGATGTTCCAAGCTTGGAACTATTAGAGAACTATAAGGGGTCCTTCCTTAGCTCAGTCGGTAAAGGCACAGCTACCTACAAATCTAGAACAGGAGCAAGACAGGAGATGGCTGGGTTCGATTCCCGGTCTGGCCTAGGAATTTTCCGGGTGGGACAATTTCTCGGCTTCCCTGGGCAAAGAGTATGACTGCCCTTGTCACACAAATATGTATACTAATGCAAAAATGGAACACGCCTCGAAAGCTCTCAATTATTAACTGTGGAAGTGCATCCAGAAAACTAAGTTGAGAGCACGCAATAAGCAAATATGTGGTAAGCAATGAGCTTGAAATGCGAAGACAAAGAAGAATCAAAAAAGAAGAAGAATACTTTTAGAAAAGATTCGAGTACTTTGGGCAAGATCAGATAACTTAAGAACAACTGCATTAATTTCAATTTAGTTTTTGGAACTTGCAAGAAGTTTCGAGGAACTTCAATCAGGAAAGTTCCATAAATACTAGGATCATTGCCGGAAAATTAGGCAAGTTCAGGTAAGCTTAGAGATTGAAAATCAAGGTCCGTATAACGAGAAAGAATTTCAGAAAAATCTAGATCTTTATGGCAGCTTCAATAACTTCAGGGAAATTTTCTGCTTTCAGGTCGTTTAAAGATCTTGAAGAATTAGTTCTGATTAAATCAGGGTAGATCCATAAAATTCAATAAAATTTCCAAAATGTCTTGGAACTACGTAAGTTATTTAGTTCAAAATATCTGAAAATAAACCTAAGAAATGTCCCGAAAAGCTCAAAGAAAGTTAATAAAACTTCAAAAAATATTAAGGAACTGTACGGAAGTCCAGAAAACTTCAAAGATGTTTCGAGAACTTCAGGAAAATAACGGGAACGTTACAGAAGATTTGATTTAAGAAATGTTCCGAGAGCATCTTTTAAATGATAGAATCATCAGCCAAATCCATAGATATTAAAAAAAGTGTAGAAATTTTAAGGTTAATTCCGATAGCATTCGTAAGGGATGATCAAAGAACTTTCCGTTTAGGGAAAAAATCAGGAACTTTTAAGAAGATCTGAAGACTTCAGGGAACTTTTGGAATGTTCAGTGGCTTTCTGGAAAGTCCAGAGAATTCTTGGAAAGAATCTGGAATGTTCAGAGAATTTCTGGCAAGTCTAAAGAGCATCGACAAGTCCAAAGAAATTCACAAAAAGCTTAGAGATCTTTACAGAAGTTACGTGAAGTTGGGGATTGTTCCGAGACAGAACTTAATTTCGCTGACATGTCATATGGTCATTACAATTATGAACGCTCATTAAAGGGAGTGTTGCCGATGCAACTAAGGCTCGATTTCAAACACTCCTTTTTAGCTTAGTTTTCACTAGCTTTAAGCTCTGAATATTTATTACTTGAGGTAGATTTTAATTAGACTTATTCAAAAGTTACTTACGTTTAGTGTTTAAGGAAATTTGGATAGCTTTTATCAAGAGAAATACAATAACTTTAAGCACAGCAGGCACTTAATTAAACACGTTGTACAAATTGCTTTTCACTTTTGTTCGGTTTGCTATCTTCAATGATTGACAGTTGCGCTATCGGCTGATGGGGGCTACCAGACAGGCCTTGATTCGTACGGAAGCAGGGGTCATGCGCCGACCAGCGGTATAGCTCGCCGTCATCGAGGTCGGTGAGGATGGTAACCTCGAGGCAAGTGGTAAGAACCATACTCAACCTTACGGGCCGGGGAATGCTGGTACTGCTACGATCCATCCGCAGTCCCCTTGGACTCATAACAGACGAACGAGCGAGGATGCGGGCAGCCCTACCGCCTTTTGTCATCGTTACAGCCTATAGCTCAACTATCAATTATTGAAGATAGCAAACCGAAAAAAAAGTGGAAGGTAGTTTGTAAAATGTGTATAATTTATTGCCTTATGGGCTTAACATTATTGTGTTTCTCTTGATAAAAAAAATTGAAATTTGCACAAACACTAAACGTAGGAGACAACTGAATGATCTTAATTAAAATCTACCTAAAGTAATAAATATATACAACATAAAGCTAGTGCAAACTAAGCTAAAAAGGAGTGTTTTAAATCTAAACTGCATCGGCAACAGGGAGCGCATCAATTGAGGGTAGAAATATCAAAATTCAACAAGTAACCAGCTCCCAATTTTACATGAACGCACTGGTTTTGAATATTCAGGGTTGTCTTTTAACATGTGTATGGAAACTCATGATAAAATGGATTTATTCAAATTTCCCCCGAAAGCACTGGAAGCACTGAAACTAACTTTTGGTGAAGAAAAACCCAAGGTACATGAAAGCTGAATAATCCCTGGGACACGGCGTGCGTCTTCTTCCTCGCAGCAGAGTTATAATACACGGCGAATGAGAACGACCCAAATCTGAGTTTAGTTCACTCTTAATCGCCATAAGTGCAGGAACTCAGCGATGAGTAAATTTGCCTCATGGTTTCATGTGGAAAACCTAAAAAATCTGCCGGAAAATGAGGAAAACTGACGAAAATTTTACTCAGTCTAGGAGTAGTACTAATAAACTGAGTGAGTCCAATCTTTACTTTTCTCATATTCGGGAAGATTTTCCTGGACAAACCTGGCAAAATCTGGAAAAACATGAGGCAAATTTACTCATCGCTGAGTTCCTGCACTTTATGCGATTTACGAGTTAACTAAAATCAAATTTGGTTGGTTATCATTCGCCGTGTAGAGAAAATACACGCCAAGTAGCGAAAAAATAAATGAATATCAAATTTTACGTCTCATAATTCCACGAAACATTGCAAAATTGTGCGCTAGGGAAAATGAACCAAGTTTGTGCTGGAATTATTTCATTTCGAAGAGCGCTAAATGTTTCAAAATGGCGTATTCGATGCTTTTAATAAATCCCAGCACAAAAAGGGCTCATCTCATCACCTTTTAAGGAAAAAAAAAAATACAAAATCATAGTAGGCAGACTGTGGAGTAATAAAATTGACATTGTTAGGACATTTTGTAATAAAGCTTCAAACCCACAAGTTATATTTTATTGAATCTCTACACACACTGAAAACAAGTTACAGGTTATGGTCAAAAAATAAAAAAAAAAAACGATAAAATTTTTATTTAGAGCTGAATTCCGCAGGATTACCAAGATAAATAAGTCGTTTTACTTTTGTGGCCAAGAATTTACCAACAAAGACGTTCCGAGTGCCAATGCTGCAGCGGAATATCACGTTGGAGATGTCGCAAGAGCTCCATTTCTATTGGAAAAGCTCGGGAAACGTCGCAAAAGTTCTTGGAAAGATTTAGAATAACAGAGAACTTCATAGATCATGGCAGAACTTCAAGTAAGTTGATGGATGTTCAAAAAAGCTAATATACGATAAGCAATAAGCTTGAAATTCTAGGAAGAAGAAGAAGAAAAAGAAAAATTTCGCGGAACTTCAGGAAAGAAAATCAACACAAGTTGTAGAAGTACAGTGAACTTGTGCAGTGATCTTCGTAGCAGTTCGAGAAACTTCATAAAACATCAAAACAAGCGCAGGGAATTTCATAAAACTTAATTCAACTTCGTACAAGATCGTCATACTGATCCAAAACTCAGAAAGCTTCATTGAAGCTCAGGAGTTTTGGAAAATATCAGATAAATTTTTAGGACTTCTGGGAGCTTCGTATCAGTTTTTCAAAGATCTAACTCTGTCTGAACTTCCTGCTCAAGATCCTGTATTTCCTAAGAAATCCTTTATAATTTAGGGACCTACCTTAGATGTTCAGGAGTATTCGTGCACAATTTAGAAGGTCTTCCCGTACTCAAGCAGCTCACATCCGTTATAAATAGATGCAGTAACTTAATTGTGACCTAACCAAGTCACGTATAAGCTACCTCAACCAATTTGTGATAACTGTGCTGCTAGGGTATGTTTGAAGAAATGCAAAGATGTTCTGAAACCTTGTTAGAATTAAGTGGGCTCAGCAACATCTTCTCAGAATTCCGAAAATGTTAAAAATGAAGACCTGGCATACCTGAGGTGGGTAATATAATGAAACTAGAAGGACTTGAACTTGTTATTTCCATTCGGAAAACAATGATTTTCAAAGTTGAAGATGTTAAGTTGCAAATAACAGACTTAAAGTGGTCATTTTATACGATATATGAGGAGATGAAAGTAAAGAGTTGATAGTTCCGTTAGAGTACGGCAGTGTGTAACCTGTATAAAGAGATTAGAAAGCGAGCAAGAACAACTTTGAGGAAGGTACAAATCGGGTTGATCATCTTTCTTTACCAAACTCATTATTTAAGGCAAAACCTAAGTTGCCTCAATGCCTTTAATACCTCAGCAAAAGCGTTTCCTTTGTAACGAAAAAAATTTACTGTGTGAACAGCAATGCAGTGTTTGTCTTTTTTACATGAAAGAAGCGTTCATTACTGCCATAAAACAATTCTCGAGTACTGTTTCAAAAGGTTCTAAATAACAAATGTAAACAATTTGAGTTATTCGATGAAAACGATTGATCTTCTACCATTGTTTGTGCTTCAAAAAAAAAATCCATTTAAATTTTATTTCGTTTGTTAAAGAAAATCATAAGTAACAAATTGTTCAATGTACAGCTAAGAAAAATGGGAGCTTGATTACTACTTCGGTCATTTTGCCTAACCTGGACCCAACCTATCGACCCATCAACTCATGAATCGTGGACCAACGGCTATACTTCCCCTCCAAAGTAAGGCGTGATCAGAGATTTTAGGCCTCAGAAAATTCCGGCGGAGCCGACTGAGATTGAACCAAGGTCTTTTGGTGCGCTTCACGCTTACCACTACACCACCGGCACCGCTAGAATCTTGTTATGTCAAAATTCAAATTCATGCAGGTTCTTGGTCTATCTGTTGAGGTTGTCTTCATTTTCAGCTAAGTTGAGTGTAGAAGAAATTATTTGATATGTTCAATGTAAAAATAGTACGCGATGCTTTAAATGTATGCAAATTTCGGGAATTATTACATTTGGCTCAAGTAGCCTAAACTAATATCTTTATCAAATTAATTTGCACTCTTAACAATCCTCTCTTGTTCTGCATTCATAAGAGAACGTGTGTGGAATGTTAAAAAAAAAGCTAGTTGCCTTTTAATTACTGATATGTATCCATATAGTATATCACTCAGTTAACGCTTCTTTGCTATAAACGATAGTTCAACCTCAATCGATTTTAAATCAAGTCCTGAATTTTTTTTTTCCAAAAATGAAGCTCATTTGGATGCAAACTCATTTGAAGTTTGTATGGAATTACTATGGGAAAAGTGGACGTTTTGTTCTCATTGATCTATCCTTTCAGAATAATGATTTACGGATAAGTTTGCTATCAATTCATAAAGCAAATTTTCTCAACTACAACTTTGCTCAAGACCACTAAAAAAAGGCTAGGACGATGAAAACAAAAAGTTCACTTCTCCCATAGTTATCCCCATGTAAACTTCAAAGGGTAAGATCGCAACCAAATGAGGTCAAATTTTGGGAGAATGATCAGCGCATCTGATCTAGAATCGATTGAGCTGGGTGGAGCAATCGATCGATATTTTGAACCACCCTACTAAACATCCATTGGGCAAACACTTCTCCCCCAGCTTGGCAAGCATTCACAATGTTGATGTATTTGAAAATCTTCCCTAATTAGCAAACAGTGTCACTTCTTCCATCAGCATGCAGCAAATTCCTATCCATCAGTGCCAGATTCTTTGCGCAACGTCTTTCCACCAGTTGGTGCAGTTTGATAACAACAATTTCATCTAACGCTTTCAGCATAAGAAGCGAAAATATAACACCGAAAACGGCTTCCTGCCGCTCTACTGCACGTCGCTTCCCCCTCCCCCTCCCATCTCTCGCTTATCGTTATCGCTTCCAAAGCAAACGAGCTCGATCTGCTGCATAATCCGCTTACAGTGCAGCACCAATTAATCCACAAAAAAAAATGAAGTTAAATAAAACCTATATCACACGAAGCACCGGAGATAATGAATTTATGCAACCACACACATCACACTGTGCACGCTTGTTCATAGTTAATTGTGTGTAGCGGGAGCCAAACGATGAATTCACAAATATAGATTTTTGGAGCTAATTAACAGCACAGCAATTTTCTTCGTCTCTCCCAAAACGTCTCTCGGTTTTGTTTTATAACTGCAATTTGCGTTGTTTTCTGCTTTGCTCTTCCAATTTCGTCGGTCCAATTGGGGGGGTTACACTTTCACATGGCAGCACACCTCCAATGCACACGGTAGGTAGATCAAGCGGCTTTCGAGCGCAGAGTTCATGTTATCCAAACATTTCAATGTCTTAATTATCGGTCTTGTCAGTCCATGAGCACACCACCACAGAAAATAACAGTAAACCCACACACACACACAAACTCACGTACCATTCGCATTTTGCACTTTGATTTTCCCTGGAAGCACGTTCCAAGTAGATGCTTTCCGATGGGACTTCTTCGCAATGCACAACACTTGTAGTAGAGATAGCGAGACCAGAGACGGTACTGATTCGGTGATCAGCCCCGCCGGGGGTATATATACACAAAATTGGCCACCACACCAAGCAGTGGGCCCCTCCCTCCCCCTGTGGTCGATGGTTCGCGATGCGAGACCCCCGTGACCCCCTCCCTACCATCCATCTATTCCAAACTCGCGGAACGCAGCTTTTCCTCTTGGGTCCACGATGTGCCGAATTTTCGGGGCAGATTTTCTCCTTTGCACAGTGAGGCTTCCATTCGCATGGTTCAAGCGATCCCTTCTTTCGCCCAGCGCAGGTTTTGCATTTCTCCGCACTGTGCCAGCCATGGCTGTACTTTTTTGATCGTTGGTTCGATTTTGGATTTTTTTTTTCTTTGAATGCAATGCTGTTTAATGCATTTAACGATATGTGCCATTACAAAAGAATTGTTTAGGTGAGGATTGTTTTGTCCAGCCATGCGTCACCGTGTAAATGGCCATGGTTAGAGGATAGAAGAAGATAACTACGATGCGCCGATCGAGCTGTGCTGATGACCTAGCAAGGGATTGGTGCCGTAATCGATTTAGTTTTTGATAATGTGTGGCACTGAGTGTCAACCACCCTTGAGCGACAGGGTGGTTGAGGAGAAAATAAGTTTCTAATTTAAGAAATATATCAATCAATCGATCAATGTGACATTGAATTGCAACTCAACAACGGCAATCGACGTACTAGATTAAGGAAGTACAACCAACAATCAATACGAAACTAACGATTATAAATTGGCTAACTACTTGACTAGCCATTGGTCCCAAGTACATCTATAAGCGTACCCCATTTCTAGTACCAATTCTAGTACTACACAATGTTTGTTTTGATCCGCTATGAAGGTTTGACAGATAAAATGAGGGGTTAGTGGATTTTCCTATGTTTCGAGGGGTGAATCGATTAGCTCGGAACCGAAGAGAGTACCAGAGCTGAGCCAAAAAGTTGAGCACGTTTCTTCTGGACCTTCTTGTCTTAGAGTTACCTCTATGGTACAACGGTGCTAAAAACATGTATGTGATACGTATAAGATTCATTCTAAATTGGGATTGTCAATCATGTTTGAAGACCATTTTTGTTACATTAGCTATCTTAAACACTAGCTCACTTAAATTCATACATCTTTGTCAAAGTACAATATGTATGAGCATATCAAGAGATTTAAGTAAATGGTTCTTCTAATTATCGTCACGCGCCGAAATATTGTTTTAGTTTGGTTTTGGACATTGTAAAGTCAATAGTATCTCAATGTTTATTGTACATAGTCAATAGTCATTAGGGTTGTAGTACCGGTAATGCCAGGTGATTTTCTGGTATCGAAATACAGGTACTGAAAAAAAGATACGGCCGATGATTTTGAAACAAAACATGCGTCTAACTGACCTTAAAAGTATTTTTATGGAGACTTCCGTGATAAAATTCAACTAAATAAGTTAGTGTTAAAAACTAAAATCCTTATTTAGTTCTGAAAAATTGCACTAAAATCAGAACTTTGAGAAATGGAAATTTTTCACATTCGTCAATATTTTTAAAAACAAAAAAGTTAGTTTTTAAATCTTATTTAATTTGAGAACCACCCTGATGTTAACAAGCTACAAAAAGGATTAATGTATGTAAGTAGCCACCATCCGAGCTTGGGTCTTGCCATGCATGCGGCTCCACTCAACAGCAAGATCAAATTTCGTCATCATTCTGAATTCAACATACTACTGTATGAAGGGCCAAAAGGAGTTGGACGGGCCCGTAAGCAGAGACACCAACGCGAAACCCGCGGGAATAAGAGAATCTCCTTCCAACAATATGATCCAACCAAACGAATAACGAAATTCGCAATACATATTAAGCTTTCCACGGAATGGTTTGTGTAAGAAGAGTTATTAATTAACAAAAAAATACCACTAATCTTACTGATTCAAATGTTGTTCAGTTGAATGAAAGTAAATTTTATTTTCTTTAATTTTGGCGTTAAATAATTGATATAATCTCATTACAACCGGAGATATTTGTATCTTATAGTAAACAAACTTTTTTAAAGTAAATTTTCATTTTTTAGCTGTACCTCGAAAACTATCCTACTGAAATTTTGTTTTACTACAATTTTGGACTCAGCGCACGATTGGTCAAAGTTTCGAGATCATTTTTTTAACTTTTATTTGTTAACTAGCTAAGTACCAAGTGGCCAGAAAACAGGATTTCTGGAATGACCGTTAAAGTGGTCATAGAACCCTGACATTTTTTTACAAATTGCACAGTGCCTTGTGTAAAGTGGAGAAATCTCAGCACCATGTTAATTCAAGCACCTGGTAGCCATAGCACACCTTTTCTAATATCAAGATTGTTCGTAAAAGTCGTCAGTTTTTGAACGTGTGCCTGGCGCTATGATTTTTGTTTATCTATACAAAATGTTCAGAAGCCTGAGCATAAATGATATGGTAGTCACCTTAGTCATTCGGATTCCTCTGAAATGTGGTAATTTTTTGAATGTGGTCCTGAGTTACCTGTTGTTCTAATTTTTTGTTCATTGCGCTATATTAAATTATTCCATGGAAATAACACATATTCGTAATAGAGTAACTCAGAAAATCTTTGCATTTTTTTAGTCCAAAATGCATGGTATCGTGAATAAGGCTGAAACCCCAAGAGCTTTTGGAGCTATGTAAACTCGAAGAGGAAAAATTCAACAATGCCTGCAAGCGTTTTTTTCAATGACGTTGAATCGTCGATAGGCGGGGAGAAATGTGAGCTTTTTGCTGCTCATTTTTCGTCGGTTTTTGCCGCAGAATCCATCACCTCGACTGAACTTGTCTCGGCTGTTTCGGATGTGCCTTCAAACCTTGTTGACATAAACACTTTTGAAATAACGCCCGTTATGGTAACTAATGCCGCCAAGAAAATGAAATGTACCATCTCGCCTGGACCAGATGGCATTCCTTCTGCAGTGTATTGTCGTACCATAGGAGCGCTTGTTGAACCGCTTTGCAGAATCTTCAACAAATCTTTTGTAGTGTCGAAATTTCCTGCAATCTGGAAAGAGTCATTTATGGTTCCGGTACACAAGAAAGGAGATAAACGTGACGTTAAAAACTACAGAGGAATTACTAATCTCTCTGCAACATCAAAACTGTTTGAGATAATTGTGAGTGGTTTCATTCTTGAGCACACCAAATGCTATATCTCTAGTGACCAACATGGCTTCATGCCTGGACGATCGGTTACCACAAATCTTTTAGATTTTACCACGACATGTTTTGAGCAACTTGAAAATGGGGCACAAATAGACGTCATCTACACTGATCTAAAAGCAGCGTTTGATACGATCAACCATGACATTATGTTGGCAAAGCTATCCATACTCGGTGCGTCGGACCGTTTGACTTCGTGGTTGTGCTCCTACTTGACTGACAGGTCTCTGCGAGTGAAACTCGATTCCAGTACTTCCTCGTATTTCACTAACTCGTCAGGTGTACCACAGGGTAGCAATCTTGGCCCGTTGCTGTTTGTGTTGTACATCAACGACGCACTTCTTCTACTTGGAGATGGCTGTAAGCTTGCGTATGCCGATGACCTAAAGCTGTACTTCGTGGTGCGGACTGCTGAGGATTGCATTCGTCTTCAATCGGTATTGGATCTGTTCGTTGATTGGTGTCGTCGGAATAAGCTTACCCTCAGCATTCCTAAATGTATAGTAATGTCGTATTACCGCATCAGGCAGCCGATTGTTTTTGACTATGCCATCAACGGTGTGGTTCTTCAAAGAACCGACCAGTTCAGCGATCTTGGTGTTCTACTGGACCATAAGTTGACGTTCAACCTCCACCGCTCTGCTCTGATCACAAAGGCGAATCGCCAGCTAGGTTTTGTGTCGAAAATATCGAAGGACTTCATTGACCCACACTGCCTGAAAGCTCTCTATTGCTCACTTGTGCGACCAATCCTGGAAAATGCCTCCTTGGTCTGGTTTCCTCATCAGTTGACTTGGAGCTTGAGGATCGAAAGTGTTCAGCGCAAGTTTATCAGGATAGCATTACGTAATCTACCATGGCGTGATCCGCAAAATCTCCCGCCGTATTCTGATCGCTGCAATCTGTTGAGCTTGTGTACTCTGGAATGCCGACGGAAAAATCAGCAAGCAGTTTTTGTTGCCCAGCTATTGAATGGTGAGGTCGACTGCTCGAGGCTTCTCTCGCTGTTGGATATCTGAGTACCACCGAGAACATTACGAAGTGGTACCCTTCTCCAACCGCTGTACCTTCGAACGGCGTTCGGTTACAACGAACCACTAACAACTATGATGCGTACGTTTACGACTGTCGAAGAATTATTCGAATTTGGGGAATCTTCATCTCGCTTTTTGGCACGGATTAGAAACACTTGAATTGTTTTAGCTTTAAGGTTGTTTCATGTAGACAATAGTCCGATGAATAAAATTAAATAATAATAATAATAATAATAATAATAATAATATCTTACCAATAAATAGATTCACTTACCCGGTAACCATAAAATGGCAGGATTAACCTGGATTAACCTGAAAAGTGGTCGATTTGCTACCAAAGGGCCATACGTATCACCTCAGATATCATCAGTCTGTCAAACAGATTCTAATATTGTTTCGGATAATAGTTAATAAATTCTTTTGAACGACAAACGAACGAAAATAATCAGTATAAATTATTATCTCTTATTTTATGGTTTTACTTTTATACATAAAAAAAAAAAAAAACACATTGAAAATTTCTCAGTGCCATCATTCACAGCATTCCTTACATCTATATTCAATAAAGCATGATCGATGTTCAGAGCAAATGGTGTTTCCACAAGAGTTACATTTTTATCGACATTGTGATAAGTTTTCCGTCCAGAAATAGTATAAGTAATCTGATTTGACGGGTCTTCGTCTGAAGTTTTCTCCTTGACGATTGATGCAAACATAATACACTTACAAATTACACTTTCTTAAATGGTTTGACCGAGTGCAACTCTTACAACTT